TATCCAATACCTTTGGCGAAGTGCTGCCAATGTTGCTTGTGGACCAGCATGCAATTGCCGTTCGTGTTCATATTTGACCAATAAATTAGTAACGTGGTGGTTTTTCGGTAAGATAATCGGATGTTTGATATCATAAGAGAGAGATGCCTTTTGTAACCTACCTCCCACTCTTAAGGTATAAGCCCGGTTTGATCAACGAATGGACTGAGCGCTAATAATCTTGATTTTTTCGAAAGCACCTTATTTTCGCCTAAAATCTTTAACTCTTCGACAAATTCATTTTTTTGTATTAACCGCATTATTTTATAATTTGCCTCTCTTAATTCTTCGGACGTTAAGAAAGCTTCGATATTCCTCTTATTTATGTTTTTGCAATTATTTATGAATCGGAGAGCCCAAGCGAAAACACGTTGTAATTTACTGAAACTTGAAAATCGAGTAAAGATTGGTAATTCTGCCCTTGCAGTACTAACTGTTAAAACAACTCGAATTTCCGGTGTATCAATGTTAGATAGGTTTATTTTCGAAATTGGCCATTGCCTTTCGTTTTTGCTCAAAAATGGGGGACCCTTAAACCACGATTCGTTTCTAGATAAATAGTTTGATGGGTGATGCCCCTCGACTTAATATGTCTGCTGGATTAAGTTCCCCACAGATATGTTTCCAATCAGAAACTTCTGTTAGTGTGTTTATTTCAGAGACCCTATTTGCCACAAATGTTTTTAGTGATCTCGACTGCGTGTTTATCCATGCAAGTACTATACTAGAATCGCACCATAAATATTGTCGCGAAATATTTAAATTTAAAGCATGTCGTACCCCTTTTACTAGCCGTGATAGCAGTAAAGCGCCACAAAGTTCGAGACGTGGCAAGGTTGTATCGCGTAAAGGCGCTACTCTTGATTTTGCACATATTAAATTCACTTCATAATTATTATTATTCGGGTTACGAGTTCTTAAATATAACACTGCCCCATAACCGTGCTGGGAAGCGTCACAAAAACCGGGTATAATTTTTCTCGGCACACTAATTTGACGTATATGGTTCAAGCTGCTTAAAAAGGTAATCCAAGACGTATATATATCGGCAGGTACTGATTCGTCCCAACCCAGTTTCAGCGTCCATAAACGTTGCAAAATTAATTTAGCATGCATTATGATGGGTCCAAGCAACCCTAACGGATCAAATATTTGGGCCGTTACCGAAAGTATGGCACATTTGGTTACTTTATTAGGTATATTTTTCAGTATAATCTCGTAACTTAAATTATCGACGGTAGGGTTCCAACACAAACCTAAAATTTTTGTAAATTTATCCTTATGCAATAATAATTGTACGTTCGAATCATGGAAATTATCATTATTAGATACAATACTTAGTTCGTTTGACTGAAATTTTCGCAGTTCAAATTGACCCTGTTTCAATATGGCCGTTACATCATTTTTTATTTCAGTTAAATCTTCGATCGAGTCAGCCCCGGTTAAAAGGTCGTCCATATAAAAATCTCGACGAATGATTTCGCTCGCGATAGGGTACCTAGCTTGGTTTTGATCAGCTAACTCCTTCAAACACCGCGTAGCAATAAAACTTGCCGGTTTAGTGCCATATGTTAGTGTCAAAAGACGATACGTATTTAGTGGTTCGGATGGATGATTCCGCCAAAGAACTAATTGATAATTCGTATCGTTGGGATGTATCTTAATCTGACGATACATTTTCGCTATATCAGCGTTTAACACGTAGGGGAACGAGGGGCTTGTTGTAACAGTTTTTAGGAAAAGGAATATAATTTGGTATCTATTAGCTGTTTGACCATTATAAAAGTATCTATCGGTAGTCTAACTATTCCCCTATTGGACTGAACAGGCAAAAGGTCAAAATTGTTCATCTTCACTTCACACCAGGCATTTTCTTAAAAAAAGTGCATTGTTACAACTTGCCCCGTGGTTGGGGCTAGTTGTAACAGCCATGAGACAGGTAGTACCAGTAAAAATAAAGCTGATGTTGATACATATTTTGACTTTATTTTTCAAAAATCAACACAACACTTCATTATATACAATTTTTTTTCAGTAAAACTGAAAGAAACTTTTAGAAAAAGAGTCAACATTAAAAATTTGAGTGTTGTGTTCCTTTTTCTTAATATATCTGGAAAGCGATATATGGCATAGGTCAAAATTTTGGCTCGCTTTTCGTATGCTAGGTACGAGATTTGTAGAAGTGAATTTGGGATAAGTTGTAACATGTTACAACTTGCCCCAAAGCTATTGTTACAACATGCCCCGTAGCACAATTTTCTACATTTAATTACATTTCGACAAAATTATGTGGCTTAGCGTCAAAATGTGTAAGGAATATCAAAGCTGAGTAATTTTTGAGCTACATGCAAAACTAAAAGTTTTAAATTAATTAATAACTGATACGAAAAACCAAATTTTACTAAAGCAATATTTTACATTACTTAGCCAAAACGAAACACGTGCACACATCCACTCACTGCGCTGGCTCAAGGAACAGTGGTTGTGATGACATGATGTCTTATGGTGCAAGAATTAAATTCAGTAAAATACCTGACGTTAAAGAGTTTAAATTGTGGGTAAAAATTTAGTGTTACAACTTACCCCTGTTACAACAAGCCCCTAGTTCCCCTACTGAAATGTTCTAAAGCGTAATATTATTGAAAATAGGTCTTGTTGTAATACCGCCCCAGCTAGCAAATTATCGTTTAGACTTTGTTTATTTGAAGTATTCGGAAGATTTTCGGTTATTTTGTTCACCACGATGCAATTTATTTTTGTTGAGTACGCATTATAAATAGATTTTATACCCACATCTAAAACTTGCTTTTGAGAAGAACTTGCCGCTCCATTTAAACCCTTAATTTGAATATTTATTTGTTTCGTGTTCAATTTTAGTTTTTTAATCATCGGTTCAGTTATGTAATTGGACATAGAACCTGGATCCAACAAAGCTCTACAAGTTTCATATTCATTTTTAGCATTTTTAATAAGAACTATAGTCGTTGATAGTAAAACGGAATCTGAGCATTTTAATAAACTAGAAGAATGATTACTTAAAGTTACTGAACTATTTTCATCGACGTCAGCTTCGACTGTATGTATTAACGTATTATGTTTTTTGTTACAAGCTTGACATTTATGACTGGTACGACATGTAGCAACCTGATGATTTTCTCGGAGACAATTGATGCATAATTTAAGACGTTTAACTTGCGCTATACGCTCGGGAATTGACATTTTCAAAAAATCTATACACTGAAAAATTAAATGAGATGATTTTTTACACATTGAACAAGATGCTTGTTTTTTATTAGTGGTTATGTCAGAAACAGTCTTTGATTTGTTGAAATAATTATTTTGTTTATGATAAACCTTTCCTTCATTTGATGTTTTATTATTCGACATATAACTTAATGATTCCAACATTAAACAACGTTTTTCTAGAAAGTCAATAAACTGTTTGTAAGTCGGTACATCTTTATCGAGGGAAAGTTGCCATTCACGTTTTGTACTATAATCCAACTTTTCTACGATGACAGGAATAAGTAATGCATCCCATTTGTCCACCGTTATTCCTAATGATTTTAGAGACGTTAAATTCGACACCACCGTATCGACAAGAGACCGTAATGAGGATGGTGATTGCTTATTTATACTAGGAGCATTTAAAATGGACATTACGTGAACTTGCACTATTAAACGAGTATTTTTGAACCGATTAGCTAGTAATCTCCATGCCTCTTTATAATTTTCATCGTTAATAACTAAAGATTCAATGGTACGCAAGGCTTCGTCGCGCAAGGAAGACTTTAAATACTGAAATCGTTGACGATTATTTAACGCCTTATTCTCATCTATCACCGATTTGAACGAATTTTCAAAATTTAACCATTCTTTGTAATCGCCACTAAATGATTTTATATTTAAAACAGGTAGATTCAACTGCATGCTGTCATTAGAATCTCGTGGATTTTTACCGTCCGTAGGGTTAAGCAATAAAGAAGTCGATGGAACCGGAACCGCAAGACTTTTTTCTATAATATCGTTTATAAGACACACAACATCGCAATAACGAATTTCAAATTCCGATCTGCAGCCTTCATAGGCTTCTGCGGCTCCCTTTTCAAGTTGCTCTATCTGGTATTGAGTTTCGTCAAAATCGTTTCTAATTCCGTCAAGAAGTGATAATCGTGCTTTTAATTGATTGATACTGACCCCAGGACTATATGACTGTACATATTCCTCTATTCGTTTCAATTTATCATCAATGGTTTTCAATTTGCTTTTTTGCTGATCTAATTTAGACATATTTTTGAATAATTAATGAACCTTAAAGCCAATTAAAAATGTATAGACACACAAATGCGCGTTGAACCTAGCCGTGCGAATATGGTAAAAAAGGGAAATCTTAGGACAAAAGAGCCACTAACCTTTCTCCTCTCAATGGTTTACACTCCTCCACGATAAGAGTGTAGCTGAACGTGTGCTGACTCCCTCTTGTTGAAGCCCTAGTTCCGATGTTGAAGATTTTTGCACGGGGTGGTGATTCCTCGTCGGAGATGCTGCCCACTGCTGCCGCGAAAATCGCTGAATGACGACTTCTTCCACGGGGTGGCGTTTCCTCGTCGGAGATGTTGCCCACTGCTGCCGGAGAAATCGCTGAATGAACCTCTTCCGCGGGGTGGTGTTTCCTTTGTCGGAAATGCTGCCCACTGCTGCCACGGAGATCGCTTAATGAACCTTTTCCACGGGGTGGTGTTTCCTTTGAAGAAATGCTGCTCACTGCTTCCACGGAATTTGTTAGTTGAAAACTTCTTCCATGGGGTGGTGTTTTCTTTTTCAGAAATGCTGCCCATTGCTTCCACGGAACGTCACTACCACGCGTCGCGTTTCAATTCGGAATAATACAATCGCGGTATTAAAATCCGGCTCGAAGGACCAATGTGGAAACTGTAGTGATTATTAATTGTGGAACGACGTGCACTTTTAACAACGATTTATTGATTATTATGTACATGTCAATATATATACTTGATAATGAAACATTTATGTATTTTTGCGACTCGTGCCCGTTGACGGGTTGTTGGTGACTCTACGTCCGCCACCCGTTCGTCCAGGAGGGCGGTGATGAATAAATTTGGGGGTGGTACCGAACACCCGACGAGAGCCGAGCAGCCGAGAACTTCGGGTGGTACCACACACTACGTATCAATGAAGGAAGCAAAATAATTTTAAACTAATCGTTAATGGGGTAATTGGATTAATAAAGGAACACTACTTTACATTAGTTTATTATTTATTTATTATATTGTTCACTATTTCGTTATTTATCTTTATACTGTTATTTTTGTCACAGAAAAAATCATTGTCCTACAAATTGATTATCTTTTTGTTGCTGGATAACACAAGACATCGTAGAATAATATTTGTTCAATTCTGCCATAATTTTGTTATCGCTTTAAAAAACTTAATTAGTCGTAAGATACTAATATTACTAATACATTTTTAATTGCATTTGGGTGAAGTACTTTTAATTAATTAGAGTCTATATTTTTAGCTACTAATAAAATTTCTATAGCTCTGATAATGCCATTTAGGCCAACATTACTCAAACAACTTTCCCGGAAGGCAGTTGACAAATTCTAATTGCGTTCGACAAGATTCAATACACTTCATCTCAGTATTTAAATTTTCTAAATTTTCGAATCAGTAAGGTTATTAATATTATTATTATTATTATTATTAGTAATAGTATTCCAACAGGCGAGCCCAATTATAGAAATACGGAGTGCTACCAAGAAAAAAAAAAGTTAACTCAATAACAAACAAATAAATAAATTTTTTAACTGTAATATTCCTTTATATTTCCTCTAGAACATCCCACTTTCAATCTACCCAATCTGGTGTTTAATGTGCTGCAATGTAGATGAAAATACAAAAAAAGGTTATAATAATAAATATTCAGAAAGGAAACTAAAATTAAGGAGGTTATGGTATCGTATACTAGAAAACGTACTAAAAGAAAAAACTGGTAAATCGAGATATAAAATATGAGTACCTATATCTTGTGTCCTTATTTCAAGGTTTTAGTGAGTAGGTTAAGATTATTACTAAAGATACAATAGTTTTTACCGATTCTGCAAGGAATACAGTTTGAAATAACTAATAACATTTACTCTTTTAGAACGAATAACTGGGATAATTCTCTTATTATAACAAACAATATGTGGTTGACATTAATCAACCGTATTTTCTCGTTTAATTGCGTGTACTGCATAATGTAGAATGCGATGATTTTTAATCCAGTACCATTTATTAGTAAATGGATTATATATTATTCCACTCGTAAAAGAAATTTCACAGTTTTCTGTAAATAAAAGTTAGACATAAGTTATAAGTTTCAAACACAAAACAAACCTTTTTTTAACATATCTTTCACATCTTCAATATCAATGAACATTTCATACACGTGTGTCCCTTTTGGCAGATGTCGTAAAATGTCTTCCTTCAAAGTAATGAAGAAAAATTTCGAACTTTGGGATTTAGAGTTGGTCGTAAGAAAAAACGATCCTCCAGGTTTCAGACATTTTATGCAACTTTTCACAAACAATTCTTGTTCTGAAACATGTTCTATTGTTTCAGATGCTATCACTACGTCATACTTTTCCTCGTAAGCTACAGCGTGTTCTTCTACGGTAGACAGTATGTACTTCAAATTGGCAATGTCCTCATTTTGTTTATGCAAATTTGCCACTTTAAGCATTTCAGAGTTACAGTCTAAACCTGTTACACTTGCACCTAAAAAACTTAAAGGTTTTGCAAAAATGCCAACTGAAATATCAAAATTTAAATATATTTAATAAGTATGCAAATCTGCATACTTGCCTCCACAACCTACATCTAAAATCGAAATTCCCTGCAATGGTTTTAATTCATTTACAGTTGTATTTTGTTTAATGATACCAATTTCGGTTAAACGATTCTGTATCCATGGTACTCTTACAAAGTTCATGGCCCGAAGAAGTTTGAAACCTTCGCCTTCTCGGTTCCATTTTTTTGATAATATCTCGAAAGCTCTTGTTTGTTCTGGATTAACAGTACTCTTCACAGAAAAGTCTCTGTTGTGAACAGTACGTGATCTACATAGAAAACTTAAGAAACTCATTTAATAGTATGCAGATGCTCACCTATTCGTTGATAACCAATTCTTAAACATTAGATAAAATTTTATGTCTGCGGTTAAACAATAACGTGTACACTACTGTGATTGTTTACCCAACAAAATCTCAATAAACGTTGTAGTAAGTAACCTTTTCACTCTGTTATCAATATCATCAATTCCAAACAAAAAAAAACTCTTTGTTTATGAATATTTATAATTAAAGGGTGACGTATTTCTTTGCCGTAAATAACAATAATTTATTGTTTGGTTGATAACAGTTATTTTTTATAAGTACTTATCTTTGTAAACAACCGTTCTGTACCGTATATATTATTTAAATTTTTTCTATTGTTTTTCTATAATATATGAACTATTTTGTTAAATTTTCTAAATAAATATTAAATCTAAACCGAAGAATCTAATTTAGCAAAAGCAATAAAATACAGTTAAAATGCACATCATATTGAAGAATCTAAACAGTAGGTGATACATTTTTGTAGAAATTTAAAATTGAAATAAACACTAAAGTAACAACATGGAGAAGGGAATAGAAAAAGAACCCGTTGTGAAGAACAACTTTTAGTGCCATAGACAGGCGGACGGGCGGACGAATGGACGCCCGGATAGCCAGACAGACGGACAGACGGACAAACGAACAAACAGACGCTTCAAAGTTGTAATACAGATATCTTCTTTTGCATCGGGGGTGAATAAGACGAATTCTCTTAGTAGAGATGGCTATAGCCATAAACTTTGTCAATGATTTCCGGTATAACGGCGATTATGAACCTCCAGAACATGAGCGTCTTCAACGGATGTTCTCCTGTGCTTGAACACATTAATCCAAAGTCGAATGGCTTTACAAAAAGGATATGAATCGCCTAATGTAAGAAAAGTTCTTTCATTGATTTCTTTCGCAGTTTTCCTTTCCAAAAAGTAGAATCAAATTACGAAGTGAAATTTACTCCATTTAAAAACCAAATCATTAAAATGAGGTGAAGCGTTTTGTTGAATTCATAAACAAGACAAGGTGGTCAACGAACATTCGATAAAAAGAGGGACAATGTAATAATATAATAATAATAATATGTCTTTATAAAATACCAGCGGAAAGCAAATGATCAAACCTACCTATTTTGAACGTAAATTGCAAGCAACAATTGCATAATACATTAATCTTGTTCTTATATCACACTACAATAATCTAGTACACTTAAAATTAAACTCGATTAATGTCCACTTCTCGTTGGTAGGCAAAATATGTCTATATTGATATAAGCTAGGCAGTATGAAGTAACAATTCTTACATTTTATTATAACGTGTTTTTGAAAGTTCAAATGTCAATTTATTTACATACCTAAGTTTCTTTCGCTCATGCTGATATTTATTACTATACCCTGTGATCTAACTTCGCTACTTAATAAAGATAGACCTTTTGTGCGTAACACAGGAGAACCGAAAACCGATTTTCATTTATTTGCATTGAGACGTAAACCATTATTAGTTAGTATTAATTTATTATTTGCCTTACAGGCTTAATAATATTCCCAGTAGGGGTACAAATTAACTTAATCTACATAATACAAATAAATCAATAAAAATAAATAAAATAAATATTCGAGATTTATATAATAATAATTGTTCTATTCTTTCTGCCTGCGCACTCCTTGCCTTAGTTCCCTGCCTTCCATACTTCTTTCATCCAATCCAGTCCTCTTCCATCCTCGTTTAACATTTCTTCCCAACTTTCCTCCTTTTCTCTCAATCCATCATGTCCTTCCAGCATATGCTCTATTGTTTCTCCCTCTCTCCAACATACCCTACACCATCTGTCAGTTTCATTCATCCAAAAATTATTCTCTTTCTCTTCATTTCCACACCTAAATCTCGCCATCATTCTTTTCTTGTTTATACTCTCTCTCATTGTGTACATCCTTTACTATTTTTCTATACTCTGCATTATATCTAGAATCCGATATTCTCGATCTACGTTCTTGCTTATCTATATGCTTATCTCTTACACTCAGTTCTTCTTTCATACTCCTTCCCATTTCTCTCATTCTCTCTATTTCTTCACATGCATAACCCTTTCCTTCATAATACTTGTCTCTTTCGTTCCAAACATATTTTCGACCTTCCTTTCTTATTTCTTTTTAAAATTCTTGCAATATTTTACAATCACCTCTCTTACAAAACTTCTCTTCAAATCCAACCACTCTCATTTTCTCCCTTTTTGTTTCTTCTCTCACTATATACCCCGGCGTATGCTCTTCCAATCCCAATGTCCATTTTAAGTATTTTTCTTGCACTCTCTCTATTTCTTCATATTCCCTCCATCCCCAAATCTCAGCTCCGTACATAAATACACTTTTGATCAAACTAGCAAACATCATCATTCTTCTCTTATAATAATGTCCAAATTTTCTCTCTCCTATTCCCTATACTAGTCCGATCACTTTGTTCGCTTTTCAGACCATTTCTTGAAAATGCGCTCTATCTGAGTTATTGCTCTTTAATGTATATCCTAAGCACTGGAATTCTTTCACCTGTTCAATATTTTTCCCTTTCCATGCCCACTCTTCCTTCTCCTTTCTTACTTTTTTTACAAACACCATCATTTTTGTTTTTTCCACATTCACTTCCAATTCCTTTTTTATTTACATATTTCTCGAAACTTTTAATCACTGTTTTCATTTCTTCTCTTTTCTTTGCCACAATCACCGAATCATCTGCGTACGCCAACGACCACACTTTCTCTTTACCCACTACCACCCCTCCTGTCTGTGTTTTTCTGAACATTCCATCTATATCTTCTAGAGAAGCTGCAAACAATGCGGGGCTGAGTGGGCATCCCTGTCTCACTCCTCTATTTGTATAAAAACTCTCGCTCTCTATTCCATTCACTCTCACCTTACTTACTGTTGCGTCATATATTTCTAGCATTTTCGTTATGAAATTATTTCTCCCATCTCCTTAAGCAACCTCTCATCTAGTATCATCACGTAAATCTTGTACGCCGCATTGAGCAAGGTGATCCCGGTAGTTCTTCACATCACTTTTTTTGTCCCTTTTTAAATAATGAGATTATTATACCTTTTCTCCACTGCCAAAGGAAACCCTTTTCCCTTCCAAACTCCATCTACCACTCCCCATATCCTTTCTTTCACTCCTTCTGTCCCGAACATCCACGATTCGTTCTGAATTCCATCCCCTCCTGGTGTCTTTCCTCTTTTCAGTCTTTCAATCAGTCTTCCTATTTCATCTTTCTCTCGTCGTTGTGATTCCTTTAATGTATTTTGATTTTCCTACTGACTTCATTCTTCCTTCTCCGTTCCTTGTTTATATATCTCCATACTTCTTCTTCTGTTTTCAGAGACTTTATTGTCTTCTCTTCTTCTTCTCGTTTTTCTCTTTTTCGTTCTTCACATTTTCTCCTATAATTCTCTCTTGCTTTTAAGTACTCTTCTTTCCGTCGCCAATTATTCTTCCATTTTCTTAATTTTTCCCTTGATTTCTCTTCAACTCACTAGATTCTCCGTTCCATCCATTGTTCCTCCCTTGCCATATGTATACCTTTCTTTTTTCCGTAGCTTCTACAATTAAGTTGATCAGTTCTGCTATCATAGCTTCTATATCTTCTTTTACTTCGAATTTCTTTTTTCCTAGTCTACTTCTGTATCTTTGAGTTCCCTCTTCTTTCTCCCATATTCTTTTTTCTATTTCTTTTCTTTCGTTTCTTCTCTCTTGTTTTTCGTACTCTTGCTCTTTTCCTTTGATTTCTATTTCTAGTGGCATGTGATCTAATTCTACCCTTTCCCTCACTTTAAAACTTTCTATTTCTTCCCACGTCTCTTCGTTGACAATTCCATGGTCCATAATTGATTCTTCCCTAGCTCCTACGTACGTCCATTCTTCTTCTTCATCTCCTTCCCTGATTCCATTTCAAAATTTCCCATCCCATTTCTTCTATTATCTTCCACAATATTTTCCCTTCTTTGTTATTTGCTTTGTCTTTTTCTTTATCTATTATTCTTGTCCCCTTATCGCCCAGTCTTGCATTAAAATTCCCTCCTATAAGTATTTTTTCATCTCCTTTTTCGTTTATTTCCTTTTCTATGTTTATCTTGGTTTCCTCTATTTTCGTGCTATAAACGACTATTATTTCCCATCGATTACACAGGCCTGCGAAATATAACTTTTAATTTCCCTTTTAAATAATACTGTTTTTTTTAATATATTTATGTATGCCGAATTAAAATATAACTCTAGTTTTTTTGTAGCACATCGAGATTTATTTTTATGTAGGCCTAAATATTAATAGTTTTTCAAATAATTTTTATGAAAAAATAAAATATAAACAATATAAAATTGAATGTTTACTTATTAAATGAACTAAATTAGTTATAAACAAGACTTAAAAAAATAAATAAATCAAGAAGCTTCTTTTTTTCTTTCTTCAAAGCTATGGTTTAAGCGTTTTCTCTTGTATTCACGATAGGATATGTTATTGCTGTTACATTTTTCGCATTATATCTTTTTATATTTGAACAGCAAAAGTAACAATCGTCTGTATGATTTTGTGGCTCCATCCAAATCATTAGTGTCAGCAAACTTAAAGATTTTTTTTTTCCTTTTGACCATTTGCGAGGTGCATGAACACATTTTATGAGCCCCCCATTTTTTGTCTTGGTTTTTTATATTAACATTAAAATAACTTTCGCATAGTTGTTCGATAAATTCAGAAATTATTTGTTGTTGTTTTTTGATTAAATAAGTTCTACAAGTGTAACAGAAGTTATCTGAAGAATTAACCCATTTCCGAGAAGACATTAGTAATTTTTGTTTAAATTCAGGGTAGTAAGCGCATAGTGGACACAAATAACTCTTACTAAGCTGAACACGAAATGAAATATCAACACCATTATCCATACATATTATTACCACAAAATCTAGAGGTTAATTTTTGTAGTACTAAGAACAAAACTGAAAAAAAATATTTTTTGCAGAAACTGTACGTGATAGAAATTTTTGCAATTTTTTTTTTTATACGTGAGTATCTAAGACCTACCGAAATTACTACTTGATTTTGTTGGGGGAAAACCATCGCAGGCCTGTGTTATTTATCATCCAGCTG